TTTTTTTTCATACAAATTAATGAGAAGAAGTTGCAATAAAATGAACTCTTAAACAGGTTAGAAAAATCCTTGATTTATTTTTATTTTGGGAAGTATTTTTATGAGATTTCCTTTTCGGGGATGGAAGTGTCTGGTGGTGTACTGTTATTGAAGTATTACATTAAGGACAGAATCTGTGAAACTGGATTAAAACTTAAAAGCACCCCCAACTTCAAGTCGCTTCCCCTCCAAACCCATTGGAGTTTGTCACCCCCTTCAACTGCTTTTATTTTTGGACTTTATCCCCTTTTCCCTCAAAAGATCTTTGCTTTCTGCCTCTTAGTAACTATCAAACCATATTGACTAGATCGAAATCAGAACAATGAAGCAGCCAGATGATGGATTGTCCAGAAAGAAACTTGTTGCTTGGATTCTCATCGGCTTCGTTCTCTCCATTGTGATAACCGTAATCTTGGCAGTGGCTTTGTTGAAGGTTAAGGAACCAAGTATTCAGGTTCTGTCCGTCGCTGTAACGCAGTTGATGGGGTGTCTCCTAAAATTTCTTATCTGGTTACTGATACCGAGGTAAACCTCACGCTTAACGTGCAACTTCTGGTCCAAAATCAAAACAAGGCGAATTTCGTGAATGGAGAAGGGAAGAGTTTGCTTGTGTATAAAGGAAAACCCATCGGGAAGGATATAATCAATCCAGGTTTGATCCCTTCCAAAGGATCAACCACGCTTGCCACCCGAATGACCCTCCAGGCGGACAAGATGGGAACGGATATAATAGATCTGGCTGAGGAAGTTCTGGCTGGTGAAGTAAACTTGGACACTCTTACGAGCATTCCAGGCAAGGTCGACACATTCTTGAAATTTATAAAGAAGCGTACTGTTGCACTGCCAAATGCCGGTTTACCGTTGGCTTTCCAACCTCACAGATCAAGTCCCAGACATGCGAGACGGTCATGGTTGTGAGAGAATTACCCAATTATTTGTGAATTATATCTCAAAGTATAACAGTATATTTTTTTTCTTCATTTTGTGAATGGGTTGTCACTGTTTGAAAGGATTAAGGAGCTGTGTACTCCTTGCAAATAATAATGTGTATGCACAATTTCGCTTCTTTTTTGAAATATTTTACTGTACAATTTAGGCTAGAAATTTTTTTTCATATATATCAAAAGATTAATTTCTTGATATCATAAAGTTCTACATATATCTTTGATTTTAGTTTTAAACTAAAAATTTTAAATTAATGAATATTAATTTAATTAAACTCTTAATAATTAACTGTCCTTATTATTCTAGGGTTTATTAGGGCCCTAGTTTTTATCCCAATCCATGAAATGTTTGAGTTTGAAGATAGACACCATTTTTACATTAAAACGGAAAACAATTTGACCTAAAATGTAACAAACCAATAGTAAGGATGACAACAGGCCACCGGATGCCTCCCCATCCCCTGGTTAGACAGAGTCAGTTAACAGCTCATTTTCATCGCAGATGGGCTACTCCATTCTATCACTGTTAGAATTCTAGCTTTCTGCGCTGGCCCAAATCAACGTTCCATGTTTCTGAAGGTATTTCTTTAAAATATTGATAATTAATTTGAAAAAAATTTTATATGAAAAAGAATTATTATTCTCAAGCAGTTCTAGACTTATTTGGTTACTGTTTCTTCATTAAAGTATAAAAACAAATTGACCTCTAAAGGAGTGGCTTAATGGTTAAAAACTTAAAATTCTAATTAGAAAATTTCAAGTTTAAATCTTGAGCTGGGTGAGAAAGAATTTAAGAAAAAAAGGGTTATTTTCTTTTATATAATCTATCATTATTAGATGTGCTAAAAAAATATAAAAATAAATTAAAATTAAAAAATTTTCATAAGAAACTATGAATAGCTAAGGCTTTTATTTGAGATTTTTGTGATGTTTTCTAGATGTGTTTTTTCGAGTATTTTACTATTACAAAATCTGTGTTATTATTTGATAGATGGTGAAGATACTGTTGACTATGAACCAATATTAGGTTATTTACACAGAGGAATGGAAAAAATTGCAAAAAAATTGAACAACCATACATGCCTTGAAGAGTGTTATGCATCAATATGTTAATATATTAAATTATACAAAACATTAATTAAAATTAATTGAATATAATAAGTTAACATTTTAAATGAAGTGTTGTAAAAGAGTGTTGTGAGACTACAATCCTAAACACAACTTATAAATCTTAAAGTCAAATTTTACTTTTACATAAATAAAGAATTAAAAAATACATTTTCTTTCAGGAAAAATGGGAAGAACACAAAATCCTCATTCATCCCTTAGTTTAGTAGAAAATTAATAATAATTAGACTTAAATATTGATAGTTGGAAATCGAGAAGTAAGGTTCTCCTTCTAGTTGGCCAGTGTCCAAGTCCTGGTAGTGACGAGTCTCACCCCACTCCCCATGCCAGTAGAAGACATAACTATTCCCATATTTCTAAGAAAGCTTATTAAATTACCTTATTTTTATAGCTTAACTAAAGCATCGTTTGACAATGATCACTACACATTTTCCACATAATACCGTATTTAAAAATGTAAATTTATAATTCTTAATTAGATATTTATATATTTTTATTAATTTTGATTAATATTTTATATATTTTTAGATAATAAAAAAAAAAACTACAACTACAATCACAGCATAACACAATACAATATTAACAAATGAAACTTAAGTAAGAACCTCCACCAACTAAATATAACCAAAGGCAGTAGTTTTCAAATATTGATGTTATTAAAGTAGAAAATAATTGATACACCTTCAGTTCTATATACTTTTTGACTCTCACTTTATTTAACTATTAAAATATAATATAAATATAGTTAATTAAGTTGATTTTTACAAGTTGTATGCATAGTTACAATTTTAAATTTATCTTTTTTGAATTTTAAATAAAAAAATAATATTTTTTAATAATTATATTGTGCAATATATGTGCTGAAGTAAATGGTGTACCAATCGATATCTTATTAAAGTATCGTGATTGGTCCTTTTTTTTTTTAACATGAAAAATTAGAGAAGGGGAAAAAAATGTCATTAAGGCTCGAATCATTGTATGGACCATGCCAATTGTGCACTTTACCAACACAAATATTGCTGTGGGTGTGCGTGATTGGTCTTTCTTGGTCCAGCCTTGGGATGAATGAATTCCTGGCTAGTTGCTTACTAGCTCTGCTAAGGTGTGGGTGATTCGTGGTGGTTATATATTCTGATACCTGAGGCAAGGATGCAGATAGGTGGGTGCTTAGACTGCTTGTACTTGTTGGAACAAATGGCCCATATAGTTTCTTTTTGGACCTCTTATGTGCAACTTTCCTTTGGTATGGCCCAGTAAAATATTGCTTTCTAGTTTTCATTGATGATTTGAATAATATTATTTACACTTCTATAAAAATTTTGTATGTCTCAAGATTTGTAATAGGGTGTTCCTATGATCCTAGAAAAATATGAACAGTTGAAATGTTAGATTTGTGTTAGTTTTTTCATGTGATGTCGCATATTTCTGTGCCGCAAATAACGGATATACGGAGGAGTCCTAATTTGAAGTGTTGCACTCGCAGCAATTCAACTTGCACACGTCTCTGCTTTGTAAATGTCTTTTTTCTTTTTTCTTTTCTCTTTTTTTAATCCTCAGTATTTAGAAGTATTAAACTCCAATTAATTTGAAGTTGAGTCAAATTAGACCTCATAAAAAAAATTTCTCAATATCTGTTTTTTTTTT